AGGGAATCATCCTTTCCGGCCATGTTGGCAATGAATAAATAACCACAATGACAGTATACAAATCTGAGAATAAGGAGTAACAAACCAGTGGAAGTAATCAATCGGATAACGAATGAACAGCAATGACGAATCAACAGCACCAACGAATCAACAGTAGCAACAAATCAAAAGCAACAACGAATACCAGTGGCAGAAAACGAGGACAACATGCTACAGTAACCCCTAGAAAAGTTCGATTCGCGCCACTGATGACTGCTACAAAGACTTCTAACAACGTATCGAACCTCCGCTCTGATACCATGTTAATATTGTCATATGATTATGATAAAGAGGGATTACACGAGTCTCCAAAGAAAAGCATAAAGACTACAACGAATAAAAACGGATATAAATACTAGCTAGACAGAAACCCTAATGGACTAAAGACTAAAGGGCACATAAACAAGTGGGCTAATAATATATACACTAACAATAATATTGGCAACCTATATACTGTAAACTATTCTTAGATAATATTGGCAACCTACATACATTGCAAACAATTTGAACCATTGTCAAGTTATTAATAATTGATTTACATTTTTCTATGTGTGCCAAATCTTTTATAGTTATTTTGACCTGCAATAGACATCAAAACATTTGAGACTACATGAATACAGCAACAAAGGCACAAACCATCATATGCATATAACAAAGCATCAAATGTATAAATAGATATAATAATACAACTAAACCCAACCAGATAACTTTAAAACTTTCAGCTGTTTCATCTTTATAACTTATACAAGAAAGTGGCAGATCTTTTCTACTCCCTTCTCAAAAATTCTCTTTATAGAAACACATGGCAAATCTTCGACCCTATCATTGAATAAAAAAATTATAGGATTTTTGAAACAGAGTATACCAATACTTTCTCTAGAAAAAAAAATTAGATATAAGTATCTTGCAAAGAAACATTGATAATCCAATCAATGTAACGAAAATTTAACCTTACACAAGTACATTCAAACCGTTTTATGTCCCAAACATCCTAGAAAACGTATTGTCAAACAAATACAACAAGTTAATGAAATAAATAAATACAAACACACACAAACCTTGTGAGTTATTTGATGAAAAGAAACTTATAACCATATGTAATTTTCCATAATTCCATAGCTGCACCTTCCTTTTCCTTTCTCATTTCTTATGAAAATGGATCCTCAAGTTACAATTTACACAGATTTAAAGATCCGAATCAGAGTAATTTAAACTCTTTTAGTTTTTATGTTAAATCCGATGTAGCAATGAATTCTCATTGTGGTGATTTATCTGTCCAACCTTTTGATTTGGTATTAAGACACACAAGATGACATTAAAATTAATCAAAAGAAGTCTAAAAGGTTACCACCGCTTATGACAAAGAAGGCAGCTTTCTTTCAATATTTTCGGAAGAATAAAATGATATTCCTACTTCCGACCTCTCTGTTGAGTTCAACTCAAAAATATATAAAAATTTAAATAATTCCGGTTATAATTAGCTTTTGGCTAAATCATAAATGAAAGATTATACGAATGTGAACAGGGTTCAAAGAAATCACTAATAAACTAATACAATCAACATGTTAAGCACCACCTTTTGTTAATAAAACTAAACTTTGCTTACATCAAGTCGCAAATTCACCAACTCACATCTTTGTTTCATTCGTGCCATTTGGGATTTATCTTTCTGATCTTTCTTTCCTGAATACCAACTTTTTGTTGATAGGTCACTCTTACCACGATCATCTTTAATATTATTTATATATGGTGTACTCTGTCAATGGGGTAAATTAAACAACCAATATGGTTAAGAAAATATTAAAATTTTTGATTATTTTGAGAATCATTTACCTGAATACCCTATTGAGTGTGTTTGTAAAACGTCTTAAGATAATGAGAGTTTACCCATTCAATTGATAACTAATCCACACCCTCTGCGTTGTAGCGGATGACTCTTTTGTGAAGTGGATCATAAAAATATAAAAAACTAAAAAAAATGCTCAAAATAATTATGTATGGAGAAAGTGGAACAAACTAAAATTTGAAAGTTTATATTGTTTGCTACAGTATCACAAATGACAATTAATTAAGAAATTATAATAATAAAAATTAATATTAATGCGTATATATATATATATATATATATATATATATATATATATATATATATATATATATATATATATATATATATATATATATATATATATATATTAAACTTGAAAGTACAATCTTTTGTTGAAATCAACCAAAAATCCAACCAAATGGTCCATCTTCCAATCCATAATCCTCCATGAAAATTCAAAACAAAACATGTAAAAAGTTAGAGTCATCTAAAATTGTAAAAAATAAATAAATAAGTAAATAAAAATAAAATAAAAAATGTTAATTAAACTCTTCAAGCCTTATGGGGCATTTTGTATTCCAGATTTCAAATACTCGGTAAAAAAAAGTCAAACTTTGGTTAATCCACCCCCTCTCTTGGGTGCCTAGTGCACACTATAAGACAAAATTGTCGGGACATGGCATAAAAAAGTCGTGTCTTAGAAAACCCAAAAAGTGCCCCGACCTTGATGCCTTTAGGAGGCGCCCCATGTCTTCCTGATCCAATATTTATTTTTCGACTTAATCTCAAGTCCAAATTTCTAACTCTCAAATTTGGACCTAAATGATGTCTTAATGGATAAAGTTTCCAACTTTATCCACTAAAACACCATAAACCAGCTAGGACTAAAACCCTAGTTTCCAAAAAGTCCATGAACCCATTTTCTTCATGTGTGGAGTAAAGAGAGATCTTGCATGCGCTCTCAACACCACTTAAACATCACATGTGAAGTAGGACATAACTCAAAGATCAAGGAGTTGTCCAAACTCTATAGATCAAGCCATAAAGGGACCAAATCTTCATAACTAATGACCAAAACACCAAATACTCTTAGATCTAAAAAGGAAACTCAATAAAGCATGGATCTTTGTGACTTACAAATGTCCAGAAGTATGGAGAATGCAAAGATCTTCAAGTTTCAAGCTCCTAAACACCACCTTTTTTTATTCCTTCACTAAAACACACAAAATAAGCACTAAATGAGGTTCAAGTAGAGAGAGGATAAGCCCACAACACTCAAAGAAGGTTAGGGTTTCTCTAAAGTGAGTTTCTAGGACTAAGACAGATCGAGATTGGATAAACCCTAGGAGTTAAGGTGCAATAAATAGTCTCAAAAACCCTAAAGGTCGTTCAGCCTTTGGTCTTGGGCTCCCCGACGCACCTAGATAAAAATCCTAAATTTTTCAGTGTTTCAGATTTCAACGAATTAAGTAAATTAAAGCCAGAAATGATACATACCGAAAACTGAATGTTACAATATATATATATATATATATATATATATATATATATATATATATATATATATAAAGTTGTTAATACATAGATACCCATGAAAATTTATAAAGAACTATTAAATTTATAAATGAAATAAAACATATATTGTAATTTCACAGTAAATCTTCAATTTTTTATATAACGTTTGGCACATCTTAACTTCACTTATTTGGTTAACCTTAGATTCAACACATGCTAGTAAGTTATGATTAAATTAGTTGTAAATGTTAGGATGCATGGTATGTAATGAGTGTAACTAAATGAATTTTGGCATGTTAGGCATGTTAGGCATTGCATGATATTTACCATCAATCCATATAACTAATTATATAACTAAGTGAATAACTGTGTTACATATAATATAATAATATAGTTGAAATATTTATAAATATATGTGTTTAAATATAACAATGGTATTGTTGTTAATTTTTATATAATAATTCTTATATTAAGTTGACGTAAAATATTTGTTATTTTGAATGATAAGGTAGACATCTATTAAACTATTTATTATTTTGAATGATAAGGTAGACATTTGTTAAAACAATTTAATCTTAATTGTATCAACGATTTCTATCTGCAGGTTATTCATAAATAAAATTAAATATAATATATAGTTTAATGTTATTTATAGTTGTTATTAAGATTAATTAATTTTTAAAAAATTTATTTTCTTACCAAATTAATTTGTATCATTATAATTATTTAAAACATCAATCATTATTTTGTTTTTAAATGTAACAATATAACTTTTTAATATAATATTATTTTTAACTATTGTTGTTGTAAGAGTTTTTATAAGCTACTTATTTGGAGACTCTCGATGATTATAGAAAAAATTAGGAAACTTTTCAGTTAGTATAGGATTACAATTTAGGTTTTGTATTTAACATTACAATTTATAACTTGTAACTATTTACAAAAAAAAGTCTTTGGATTTTCTTTTAAAGTTTAATTAAAATTTTGATTTATGTTAACCCTTTAACATTATATTTTATTAACAATTTAAGTATTTTATAAAAATTATTCAAAAGTTATGACTTTAAATGACAACAGTTTACATACAAAATATCCAAAACTAATAAGTTTAATATAATATGTTAAAAGTCAAAGACATAATTTCTATAAGTAAAAGCAAGAGATGTTATTTTAATATTAAAGTTTAGTTAATTTAGGTTTTTCACTTATTTAACATTAATTAACCAACTTATAATCATTATCGCAAAGAAATTGAAATGTAATGAATCCACGTTGTGAAATAACAAATGTCTGTTATATATATATATATATATATATATATATATATATATATATATATATATATATATATATATATAATGTACCACTTAAGTTCATATGTATATCTTTACATTTCTTTCATATGGCTTTCCTTGAATCTTTGGCAATCCTCATTTTTCTTTCTTTATTAATAGTTCATTACAAACCTCAATACTTAAAAGCTCTTATCGATAGATATTGGCCGCATCTTGGTGTGTTTCAAGCCCTTACAAACTTGAACCAGATCCATGATTTCTTGGCCATATATATTAATCGTAGTGGCGGTAGTTTCATGTTGAGAGGACCTTGGTTTACCAACATGGACATGCTTTTTACCACAGACCCATTAGACATCCAACATGTTTTGAGCAAGAACTTTACTAATTATCCAAAAGGCCCAAAATTCCGTGAAATATTTGATTTCTTTGGAGATGGCATCTTTAATGTCGATGGACATTTATGGGAGATCCAACGCAAAACCACCATGTCCCTTTTCAGGCAACCCAACTTTCAAAGTGTCTTCGAAGGGATTGTCTGGAATAAGATGGAAAGAGGTCTTTTACCAATATTGGAATCTATTTCCAAACCAGGCAATGAGATGGATTTGCAGGACATATTCCAAAGGTTCACTTTTGATACTATATGCACGTTGCTCTTAGACTTTGACCCAAAAAGCTTGTCTCTTGATTTTCCTTTCCTTCCTTGTGAGAAGTCCTTAACAGATATTGGAGAAAGTATGTTGTGCAGGCTATTTTCACCTCCAATCTTTTGGAAATTTCAACAACTATTTAGAATGGGGAATGAAAAGAAGTTAAGTGAAGCAAACAATACTTTTGATCAATTCCTGTGTAAGTGCTTAGCTAGAATACAACATGTATCCAATACTAACATAGAAAGTGAACATTTTGGATTGGCATCCTTGGTTAGAGAGTTTAAAGACCAAAGCAGTAGTTTTGAAGATCCTAGCAAGTTTTTAAAAGATGTCATAAAGAACCTAATTGGTGCTGGGAGAGACACAACTAGCACGGCTCTCTCATGGTTTTTCTATCTCATTGCAAAAAATCCAATCGTAGAGGGCAAGATCCGAGAGGAGATTCACTCATTATTACAAGAGAAAGTAGATGATCAAAAGAACTGGAATTCCAAAGAGTTAGGCAAATTGGTTTATCTTCATGGGGCACTATGTGAAGCCTTGAGGCTTTACCCTCCTGTTCCTTTTAACCACAAAACTCCATTACAGCCAGATATACTTCCAAGTGGCCACCAAGTTAATCAAAACACTAAGATTTTGCTATATTTTTATGGCATGGGAAGGATGGAAAAGATATGGGGTGAGGATTGCATGGAGTTTAAGCCTGAAAGATGGATTTCAAAGGAAGGAGGGATCAAACATGAATCATCTTACAAGTTCCCGACTTTCAATGGTGGACCAAGGATTTGTATAGGTAAGGACATGAGTTTCACTCAGCTAAAGATAGTGGCTTCTATGATCATTTATCATTATCACATTGAGCTGGTGGAAGGTCATATGGTGTATCCAATTGCTTCAATAACACTTCAAATGAAGCATGGGTTGAAGGTGAGGTTAACCAAACTAAGTTAGGTGAATATGTGAGCCAAATATTATGGAAAAAGGTGATATATCTTGTGTGAGACTACAATATGTGTTTTGTTTTGTTTATGAATTTTTAATAGTTATTAATAAATCCTCACGGATATGTGTCTGCTAAGAACATATATTCATTACCACATCAACTATTGACATGTCACCCGTGTTTCTAAGTATCTATATTACATAGAAGATGGTAAGTACGTAAGATGCGTATCAGATTTCAGTTTGTGGGATAATAATCTTAAACATTACCGTTATTTTTTCGGTTTGGATTTTTGGCAATATAAAAAAACAAATGGTTGTACATATTCATGAAAAGTTACAAATGATTAGGTTATATTTATGTATGCACTATAAAAGAGTTGTTTAACTTTGGGTGAAGTTTGGTTACTTTTCTTATATTTGATCGTTCCTTTTCCTAATCTTTTTAAGAGAAACTCTTTACTACCACCTGCATTGATGCTAAATGCGTGTGAAAAAATAAATCTAACACATGGCCTCAACTATATTCACATGTGCCTAACATATTGTCTTTGAAAAAGATGAAACTACATATATATAATACATATTTTTTGATTTCCTTATTCATTTATAATAAGACCATGTGTTATTTTACACATAATATGGTTTCAAGTTTCAACATATCAGCCGTACTAGATTAGAGGACTATTTGGGTAAGGAAATAGAGTACCAAAGAAAAAAAACATACACTCTATTTGGTGTATTCTACTTGAATGTGATGGTAGAGCTTCATATCTAATCTGATTAATTAATATACTATCAGGATGGAAGGTTAAAAAGAAATTGATTATGGCAAGTGGCCTAGTAAAAACTATGGTATTCTACTTGGTGTAATGTATGACGGTGGAGCACAATATTTATAGCATCTTGTGTATCATTTTATTATTTAGAAAAAAATGTAAAATAAAGAATATGAACAATTATATAATAATTAAAGCTAAACTTTTAAAATTAGATAAATGAATTAAATAAATGAAATACATTAAGTAAATTTAAAATAAGTAATTACTAATTAATAATATCTTAGGAAATAAGAAATAAATAAATAAATAAATATCAACTAATTAAAATAATTAGAAATAATTATGTAGCATAATTATAGTTCAAATATAGTGAGAGACTAAAGGGTATAATAAGAAACTTAATTTGTTAAGATATTTGACTTTAGGGGTTGTTTTGTCAAAATGTAAAAGTAGAGGGGCTAAATTAATGAAAATTTCAAAGGGTAAAGCACATGGATTAATTGGTAACTAGATGGAATTAGATGCGCCTTTTACATTGCGTACATTTTTTTTCCGTTATATGAAAACGGTAGCTGATAAGTAACCATATTATAATTTTTAACATTGTCTTGGTTTCCTAGCCTGATCCTTCTAAAGACTGCCATTTCTCAGTACGTTGGTCCAACCTACTACCTACTATGAGGGATGTTCATATCCGTTACATAGCAACAACTAAATAAAAATTGTTTCTTTGCATACTCTTTCAAAAGTAAAGTAAAGCAAAACACCACCAAAAAAATTACATAGTCAATAAAATATTTATTTAAAAAAGACTTCAGTACTGCCATACTCCCCTTGAATCCAATTACCAGAAGGTTACTTTAATTTAGTATTGTAAAATTCAAGAAAAATAATAAAATATTGAAATGATAGAATACCCTTACTTGCCACTAACTCATCCTTTCACTTCAACAAAATAAAACATATCATCATGGTCATATAGCTGCATGAAAGTAAAAAAATAAAAAATAAATAAGTTTCATTAAATGCAACTCTAAAAATAATTAAAAACTAGAAAAGTGTCCCCCGCTTTGCGGGGGTCGGAAGCCTTCAATGTCGTTTTTTCCCGAAGCTTTAAATGTTGTTTTTATATAGTTGAATGGTATTGTGTTTAATATTCATTAGTTTGATTACCACGTTTCTGTCAACCACACAAAGTAATATCTCAATTTCTTTTCAAAAGAAAGTGGAAACCAAAGTTGTAATCACCATTCCATTAAAATTTCAAATTCTCAAAATGATAAACAGAAATAGGGCATAGGCATAATACTTTATCTGTTTATGAATCACATGTAATGAATCCATTAACAACAGATAAATGAGAAAATCAGAAGAATATTATCATCAAGAGAATATAGTAAATGTAATAAAATGGCTTCTCATTAGTATGACCTTTAAGGGTTAACATGCAACCGTTGGCTGTGGTTGATGAACAACCAAATTTGGCTGGTTTACTCAGGTCCCAAACCTTTAATGTGTTGTCCGTTGATGCACAAATTAGGGCTCCATGTAGAGTGAAGAGCCTATCCTAAAATTCCACTTCTTTTGTCAAGAAATCGATTCCTACTGTTGCCATATATTGATTGCTAAACTTCTCATTCGCATATCTAAACTTGAACATTAAGGCCAAACAATAATAATCATCCTCAACATTAGATTCCGTGATCTTCAATGTTCATATAGATCTATATAAACGTAAAATTACCCAACTATCCCTATTAAAAAAAAAAAAAAAAAAAACTGCTTATATGATTCCCAAATTCCAATATCTGAAGTTGCAATAATCAAATTTAAAACACCTTCTTCAGTTTTTGTAAATATTAAAATAAAATGTAACTGACCTAAATAGAGAAACCTGAGGAAGGCTTTTTCTCCACTCGATCAACCAAAATACCTTCTCAACATTCCAGCCTATCCATACCCTAATATCTAACAATAAAATTTCAAATAATAATAATATCATTAATTTCAAATAAAAGTATTTTTTTTATTATTATAATCTATAAAGACATAATTTCAATTCAAACCTCATAAATTACCTGCGTAGTCAAAACGATAATCAAACGACATCAATTCATCACCCCCAACCCTAACCACCTAATCGGAACAAAGTTAGTATAGTGATTCTTGAAGTATACATACCACTATCTGAAAGAACAAAGATTAGAAGCTTTGATTGAGTTGAAATGTTATTTAAAGATTTAGACTTTGAATTGAGAAAGATACCTAGACCAGGGTGGATGCGATCAATATCAATATTGTCATTCTTAATGCAACAAGTACCTAATTTAATAATCTTAAATACATTCTAAAAAAGGTACATTCTAAAAACAACATTTGACAACGAAAACTCGAAATTACTATCAGTAATTTTAGCTATCAACACTACAATTATAACTTGGGGTTTTACGATTACTGTGGATAAAGAACATAAATGTGATTTTGGAGTCGACTTTGCTTAAGAGTACCTTCCGACACTTCAAGGTTTTTGGTTTTTTAATTCCTGCTTCTGCATAAACATCCAAAATTAATAAAAGCAAATATTAAAAGAACGGTGTGAAGGGAGTGATGAACAACCAAGATTCAGGAAATCAACAAAAAAACATGCAAAAATTAAAGAGTTGTATAAGCCGATATTAGATAAGGTTAAGATGGAAATACAAATCAACCCTCGATGGAAACCAAACCGTATGAAACACCCTACATCGATGGTAGAAGTACATAATGTTATCAGATCAACATGACGATAGCATTGGATGTGGAAGCTGATGGTGGACATCGAAGCAATCGTCTCGAAGCCCTAAACCCAGTTGAAACGCGCTGCAAGACTGTTATGAACAGGTTTGTAATCACAGATTCAATAACAGATAAACAAGCAAATGATTCTAATATTGATTGAAAACACTCAATAATACCAAATGTTTACAAGAATAAAGAAGAATGAAGATAGTTTGGCTGATTCGAGATAGCCAATCTCCCAGAGGAATTAATTCCAAATTTCACACAAAAGATCGATGCCTCACTCCCTGCCCACTACCCTTTACTTATACTATCTAACATAACAAACTAATAATATAAAAAAACCTAACTGCCCCTACTGTCATTTTATTTGTTGAATTTCCCATATTGCCCTTATCTATCATAAAAAGACCTGTCGCTTCAGTGGCGGAGGAAGACGACCAGCAGCTGCAGTCGATCCCGCGACTGATAAAAACACAGATAGAAAAATGAGGCCGGTTAGGAAAAGGTGGAGAAGAAGTACAGAAATCAGAATCCGATTGGATGAGAAAACGGTGAAGAAATACAGAACAACACGTAGCCACTAACCATTTACAAAATGACAAATTATGACCCCCTAAAAACCACCTACAATTGCAGCCACACACATAAATAAAGGACCAAAACTGCAAAAAAGTTAGGAACAGAGAAATGATAACGAATGCAAGTAATGAATCAAAAAGCAAAGTGGCAAATAAATGAAAATATAGGGACCTGGAATGTAACTACAGGGACCAAAATAGAGAAACACGTTCGATGTTTACTGTTGAAATTTTTCAGTCTTAATACATATATATATATATATATATATATATATATATATATATATAATAAGGATAAATAACATTGCATGTGTAATCAGAAAAATATATTATTGCAATTGTCCATAAAAAGCTAAGTAAATGTAAAATTCTAAAAAATAAATAACATAAGTCACATTATATGACCTTTTCAGTGTCGGATGACATTGTTAGTTTCAACTAATAACTCCACCCCATAAAAAAAAGAAAAAACAAAACCTAATTTATGGTTTGTTGTATAAAATTACTTTTAATGACAAAGTTGGAAACGGCTATGCAGTGAGTTCCTAAAGTATATTGCTGTAAACGAACAAACAGAAGTAGGATGCTATAATAAACAAATCAACAAATCAACAAAGGTATGTTGCTATTTATTGCATTAATCCAAATAAGATAAAAAATAAGTTTGCAGACTTGTGGATATTGCTGGTATAAGTTCTTTTAATTGTCATATAGATCAACCTAAAAATTGAAATAAGTAGCATTTCCTTGCATGACTAACCTTTGTGTATATATAGTTAATCTTCTACTAAGCAGATGAAAATTATTGGTTGGAAACAGTAACTAAAACAAATTATTCAGTTCATGTATGATATGTAAAAACAATAGAAAAAAGGCATACAACAAATGGACTTTATTGCAATAAAATGTGAACCTAAATCAAATAATAGAACTGGAAGCTTATCTTGACCTTGATATTTAGATCCCTCTTTTATTATTGGAAGAAGGCCTCCTTGAGAATTTTCATCCATGGGAACTGAGACGCGTTTACGGAAGCAAATGCTCGACCAAAATACGACTCTTTAACAGTACAAATATATATACAAAGATACATGACGATAAAAAAAACACATGGTCATAAAATATGACGCTGAGATGCAAACGATAAAACTAATTCATACCTCGTCTGCTCTTTAGTTGTTTCAATTTACTCAGATGAAACCCTAAAAAGGCTAATCAATGGAATAAATTTAGAGAAAAACAAACTTGATCGAAAAAGGAAGTGAGCTTGATCGATTACAATCGCCGATATCGTCATAAGAAGGCAAAAGTAAACGATCGCTAGCAAGAGAAGAAAATAATCCTTTTCCAGAAGACAAAATTGTGCAGCTAAATGGGGAAAGAAACAACATTTAGAAGTAGAAATCGAAGACATGAGATTGTAGAAGAATTACAGAACATACCTGAAGAACGAATCGTGTAAGCTAAAATAGCAACACAGCAAGTGAAGAGGAAGGAGGAGCTCCATTCTCAGCTCATGTAAATGGGAAGTAAGTGATTAATGTGTTTGGAATGAAGACCAAACACATTTTTCCTTCTAATATTCATTAAGTAGAGAAGTGAGGTTTATATGTTGATTTTTAGACAAGATCTTAATCCATTAAGAAGTTGTTATTAAACCTCTCAGTATGGATACTTAGAACTTATATCTTATTCGAATTGATGGTTATGATCTAAATAGTTAAGTGCTTAATAAGTGGGACAAAAAGGGGACTTAAACATGGTGGTATTGTTATTTCATGAATCTATCACATATCTTTCAAAAATCATATAAAATCAAGAAGATATCCGAGTTGTATGAAACTGTGTCCCTCAAAAGTTATAGATTTTTGTTTCATTCAAGAAAAGGGTTGACCTGGTTTCAACCAAATATGTGGTTGATGTGTATTTTACTACCACTAGTTTTAAACTAGCAATTTAACAAATTTAATAACCTGATCATATTAACGTGTGAGTCTTGAAGTTCCTCATGTCACACCATTATTATTTTTGTAAAGTAGATATATATTTACCAGGGATAAAGTCAGCTTTTCAACTCTATTATCACTACTGACTCCCTTTTTTCGCGTACAAGATAACTTACACACATTCAGTAAATTGGGATGAACAAAAATCCAAAAAATGAACACTAAGAACTAATAGATGGAAACCATTAAAAAAAGTTTCAATTACCTTTCATCAATTAAAAACATCTCAACTGATCATTACAAAACCGGAAGATTAAAGAGAACATCAAACCAAAAGAGTCTTTAGGGTTCTGAACTAAGGTCGTATAGAACGATTCCATAAAAGTGTCGACAATCCTGCACCTGTAGGTATTTTCTTTCACATATTACATCTTGATAACATAAAAACAAGTTCAAAATTCAATTGTTATTATATAAAACATAAACGTTCAAAAATCAATAAAAATAGCAAATCGTTTTACCTGTTTCTACAAGCTCGAACATTTGAAGGATTTTGAGACACTTCTAATGCATAAAATTGCAAAAAAGACTTTACTTTCGGTACTAAAAACTGAAAATATAAGAAGGCATCACTAAATAAGTATTAAACAACACAAGTTAATAGAACTTCAACCAAACTGATCGTTATTTTAAGTCAATTTTATTACAGTAAAGGAGAAGTCTTATGTTATTTTCAATAAAACTGATTGTTATACGAATAGTAAACGAGACCTATTATGTCATTTTCAATAATTTTTATGAGTCGGTGAATACTTCGTATCATGTTATTGTAGAAAAATAAAATTAGTATGATTTACAAGAAAAAATAAAAAAACAGAGAAGAGATCCTTACAAGGAGTCTAAATGGTGAAAGATGCACCAAGTCTGCTGAAGTGTCCAAGTTTGAAGTCTTCAACTCCTGACTTCAATTTTCCGAATTAGTTATACAGAAATTGGGTATACACATAAGAAATCGGGAAAGAGGGTGGGAGGATGTTCAGAAATCGATTGAAAGAGCAACGATGGTATATAGAAACAGGGCATCCTGTATCCAGAATTCAGAAATCGAGAGTGAGAGATGATGAATCCAAATCGTCGTATGTTGGCCTATGGGAGGGTATACAGAGATCTTGTGTTTTAAGAAAGAAATCCGCAGGAGGAGAGAGTCGACTCCTCGTCTTCTACATATTGATTCTCAGAGTCGTGACGCTTCGTAATTCTAAGCGAGTAGGCGCCGATTAGATCCAAGCATTTCAATTCTCGCGCCTCTGCGGCCTTCGTCGTCGAGAACCAAAAATCAAACAAACTTATTGGGCTGGGCTAAATAATACTATACTCTATAATTTGCTGGGCTGCAGTGATGCCCCTCATTTTCTTTCATCCCTGGGCTGGACCTATGCCGAATTCATCCATGTATTGGGCCGGCGATGATCTATATGATAAGATCACTTCACAAATATAAGAAGACAATAGGAGATTGAGAGATGGTATCATAGCAATTTATTGCACTTTATAGAGGGTTAATACAGTAAAACACATGTTCTTGCTGATTTCGCCCAAAATTGCATTTTGGGTCTGTTTTTACAGTCGTATTTTTCAAAAAAATATTTTGTTTTATTTTTTTACCGTTTTACAGATTATCATTATATTTTCAGGTTTTTACCATCATACTTTTCAGTTTTTCCATTATATTAACTTTGCAAAAAAAAACTCTAAAGTTTATAGTTTTTTACATTTTTACCTTTAAGTTTATAAATTTTTTTTACAATTTTACTCTATTTATTTGTTTTTCATATTATACGACAAAAAAATCTTATTTATATTAAAAAAAATATTTAATTAAATATTGTATTTACGTTCTTTTTAAAATGTTTTATATATATATATATATATATATATATATATATATATATATATATATATATATATATATATATATATAATCTATAAAAAAGAAAATTTGAATAACTAAGGTGTCAAGTTAGGAATGTCTTTTCTTTAATCATACGTACTATTTTAAAAGTAATTTTAAAAAAAACATCTTTATAATTTTATTAAGTATATACAATAAAGTCTCAATATTTTCATCGATTTGATAAAAAAATCATAAACTTTATATTTTTTACAATAAAGTTCAAATTACCGGCAGTTTTTGACATATTTACCTTTTTTTTCTCAGTTAGCCGGTAATTCGGACTTTTTTGTCAACAAAATAAAATTTAGGATTTTCTTGTCAAATCGTCGATTAGAATTTCACTGTCAAAAAAATAAAGTTTATGACTTTTTTTGTCAAATCGTTGAAAGTATTGGGACTTTAGTGTATATATAATTTTTTTGGTTAGAAATTTAATGGTATGATACTCTTTAAGCATAAGAGTTATTGAAATATTCTCTAATCAGCTAGATCCTATTGAAATCCTTTACGTTTGCTTCTTGTTAAATCGTTTTTTAAATCTCAACAAACCGACATTGAAAAAAAAATGAGATAATCAAGAAAGAAAAAACAAGGGTTGTGTTGGCTTTTTTCAATCTCAAAAATATTGAAATTATAAACCTAAAAAAATGAAATTGCCCTGGCTTTATACAAACACAAACAACACATGCCTAGTCAAAAGTGAGTGAATGTGGAGAAGGGAAAGAAGGGCAATTTATTTTTTTCGGTTTCTTATTTCTCCATCTTTGGGGTTCCAAAAAGCCAACACAACTCTGGTTATTTCTTTCTTTCGTTCTTGATTATCTCAATTTTTTTTCAATATCGGTTTGTTAGAGATTAAAAAAACGATTTAACAAAAAGCAAACGTTAAGGATTTCAATACGATCTAGCAGATTAGTGAAGTTTTCAGTAACTCTTGTGCTTAAAGAGTATCATACCATTAAATGTCTAACCAAACAAAATTATATATACACTAAAGTCCCAATATTTTCAACGATTTGACAAAAAAAGTCTTAAACTTTATTTTTGACAGTAAAGTCTTAATTGACGATTTGACATTAAAGTCCTAAACTTTATTTTTTTGACAAAAAAGTCCTAATTACCGGCTAACTGGGAAAAAATGGTAAAAGTGCCAAAAACTGCCGGTAATTTGGACTTTACTGTCAAAAAAATAAAGTTTAGGATTTTCTTGTCAAATCGATGAAAATATTAGGACTTTACTGTATATATCCCATTTTATTAAGTTGATATGTTTATCCCTTAATATCAATCATTAAATAGACTAAGCCATATCTCAAACCCTAACCGGTCTTTACCCTTCTCCCTCATCTCCCCTCCCATTTCATTTTCCCTCTGCATTGTATCTTCCCTTTGCGACATATGGGTATGATTCTTCAAGAAATTGGTTCAAATCCTCCGACCCCAACTATCATCGATCTATATCAGGAGTTAGGGTTGACAAGGAAAGAGGCTAAATGGAGATAGGGAGCATTGAAGATCGGAGTAACGGCAGTGATGATTTTGTTTCCGATAAACCGAGCATCTAGGGTTTGAAGGCGACAACAACAAGATGAAGATCCGGCGATGGTCGGTGCAACAAAACCCAGAAGTTTTAATCTGGGAATTGAGCCCCCACAAATTTGCAAATGTCGATGTTAAGGCACAACCACTATTTCTTCTTTCTTCTATCAATTGTTGTTGATGCTTCAAACAATGAAACTTTTGTTTTGCTTTCATGACTTCACTCGTCCTCATCCACTTCACTACACACTTTATTTTCAAATTGGAACCCATCCGATCAAAACACTTGCAACACCTGTTCTCCACAAAAATATGTTACCCAGATCGATATCGCTTAAACCTCTCATCGCTTAAATCTCTCTACACTCTCATTATTTCCGATGCCGTTCCAGATGGTCGTGGTTGGAAATTAGGGGTCGACGGTAGCGGGTAGAGGAAAGAGGTGATTTTAGGGTCTGATCTCCGATTGTCGGCGGTCTACGTCAGGCTCTAGCACTCTTGAGATTTCTGAAAATTTCTTGGATTTGTAGAGGATTTGATGAATATATCAATTTCTGGTGTTGATTCATTTGTTTTATTAATCGATTTGCATCACATGTGTCTATATCTTCAACTTTTTACATTTGTTGGTGTATCTTCGATTTTTGCATCATGAATTTTTGGTTTTGATATAAGTTTGATTATAGATGTTTTTCAAATTTACTATTGAAATGTTAGGTGGTTTTGTTTTTCATTTTGGGTGATTTTTGTGGTCATGGATCTGTAGTCGAAGATGGGGACCAGAGGTGGTGCCAGGAACTTGATCTATGACCGGAAATGGTATAGGCTCTAGAAGAAGATTAAGATGGGGTAACTCTTCAAATTAAATAAAAAGTTAATACTAAACATGTAATTTTAAGAAAATCATAGGGACCATCAGTGTGTGTGTATATATATATATATATATATATATATATATATATATATATATATATATATATATATCATACGTCATACGTACTTATAAAGCTAACATTTTTTCTTGAATCTCATGCATTTGAAACCCCCATTTTTTTCCTTCCACCACATTCATTTGAAACTCCCATGACTTTTTAATTTTTTTATAATAATAATTACAATTTGGTAATTATGTTAAATAAATATAAAATCTAAAGTGTAATCATATATAAACTAAATTTCAATATTAAAATAATATCTTTACTTCTACTTATAAAATTATGTTTTTTAACTTTTAACATATTATACTTAATTTATTAGTTATGATATAATGTTGGATGTAAACCATTATCATTTTAAAGGTATAATTTTTGAACAATTTGTATAAAATACTTAAATTATTAATTAAAATATAACATTATAGGATCAACTTAAATATAAATTTTATTTAACTTAAACAACCCAAAGATTATTTTATAAATAGTTAAAAGTGATAAATTCTAGTGTCTTTCTAATAATGATTGTAAGTTGATTAATAAGGTTAAATAAATATCAAACCTAAAGTATACTCATAAATAGACTAAATTTCAATTTTAAAATAATATCTTTACTTCTATTTATAAAGTTATGTCTTTAACTTTTAACATATTATACTTAATTTATTAGATTTAAAATGTTGTTGCATTTAAACCATTATCAGTTTAAAGTTACAACTTTTGAACAGTTTGGACAAAATACTTAAATTGTTATTATAAATATAACATTACAATGTTAATGTGACATCCTCAAAATCTCGGCCAGAAAAAACCGATTTTCATTTATGCTTTTTTAAAATAATTTCAGAGTAAATCCTTTTGATTTGAAAGAGTTGCGGAATTTGTTCCTAAAAATAAAACATGATAAAACAATGTTTACCAAAACATTTCATAAAAGAAATGTATTTTCATTATATAATCAAAACTCGGGGTGTCATGTTCCGATACAGACCAATAAGCATAAACGATAACATTACAAGTCATTCAACAAATATATACATATACAGACTTGTAAACAAAACAACTTGATGGTTCATCCATCTTACGCCGTTGCGCCACTTCCTATAATTCAAATAAAACTGAGTGGGTCAGGCTTGGGAGCCTGGTGAGTATATAGGGTTTTCAACCAACAATAAATAATCATATTTAATTTTCACCAACCAAAAATAACCCAATTATCCATTCCCGTTTTTCTCACTTTATGTCCCTAAGACAACTAACATAAAGGACCTAGTCTAAGAATATTTCATCGGGGCGACAACACATGCTTCGGGGGTACCTCAGCAATATAAGTCAAATAAGGCAACCATGAGGGGGATGGAATACACCGAATGAACACCCAAGTTCATTAACACCTACGGGTTATGAGCCTGCTAGCGTTCCACTGGACAGTCTAGAAAAGTCCGTGGTCGTCATCTAAATTCCGCTAGATGACTGGATCCAAAACAACATAGAGGCCTCTCATCTGTTTATTACACACCAGCTATCTACCCATGTTCTACCAAACATATTAGTAGATAAAATATATATTTTTATACATAGTTTCAAAACCTGTATAGCATGCTCAATCAATACATTTTTCACATAACAAATGAGGCACACACACATAACACGTATTTCATGGAGAAATAATCAGATCTGTAAGATAGAAGAAAGTGAATATACATTCACACACATAACAACAAAATATACACATAACACGTATTTCGTATAAAATACTTCATAATTATGTGTTAGAAGAAAGTAACTACACACTCACACATATAAACAACAATATACTTAATACACTCAAAGCATACTTGTATTATTATCGTGTTTATGAAAGGTAGTATACACTCACTTGATCAGAGAGATGATCGAACATCACTACAACTTGCAAAAGTAGTAATCCTCAGCAGAACTGGAAGATCTCTACAAAAAATCGAACTTCTCGCGGGCAGAGCTTCGGCTCGGAAACCGCACTTCTTGGGATCTTCGGGATCTCGGAACTTGCTCCGGGACTCGGGAATATTACCGGGGCTTCGGGGTACTTCTGACACGCAAATCGATGCAAAATGGGAGAGAGATGAGAGAAAAATAGCAAAAGAGTCGGCTGCCCTCGCATCCTATTTATAGGAGGCTGAGGCCTCAGAGTACGCGGGGCGTAATGCAGTACGCGAGGCGTACTGCCTCCAAAACGTCACTGCATGCGTCATCCGAAGTCCTCGAGTGCGAGTGTCGACATACCTTGGGTACGCGGGGCGTACTTCGCATGAGTCCGGTGACTCGTCCTCGGATAATACCGAAATTAATAATTAAATTTAATTATTAATTATTTAATAAACTTCGAAAATTCATATATTCTTCATACGAACTCCATTTTCGACGTTCTTTATATCCACGCGAAGGTGAGACTACACTCTACAACTTTCGTTTAGACTCCGTTGGATAATTTTGACTTTATTTTTATTATTTATTTTTAATAGGCCGGGACAGAAAATTTCGTTATAAATTCATAACTTCTTCGTTTGACGTCCATTATCGCCTAACTTTTTATCGCTTCAATACTAACAACGAGATCTTCGATTCTCGTTTAGATCACTAAAGCTAAATATCGCTCTAAAGTAAATTTCACTTTTTACGTCATTCAGCGTTGCCGGTTCTGTCGTGAAACTTCGACAGGTCATAACTTCTTCGTTATAACTCGGATTTCGGCATTCTTTATATCTTCGGAAACCTTGTTTCAACTACTACAACATTATCTAAATATATCAAGTTTATTTTACACTTAAATTTTGACGCTTATTTTTATTCTTAATTAATCAAACCACTTAATTAAGCAATTAAGCACAAAACACATAATACTCAAATAATACACTCTTATTATTTCAAAACGGGTTACAAAGGTTAACCTAGACTATTTCATTGCAAAAAATGGCAAGCCCGGAAACACAGGCGTTACAATTCTCTCCACCTTAGAATGATTCCGTCCCCGGAATCACACATCAACAAACAAATGCGGATAGCGACCCATCATGTCACTTTTCGTCTCCCAGGTGAGATTCGGCCCATTCGTGTGTTTCCATCGGACAAGCACTAACTCGACCATCTTGCATCGCAACTTCTTAGTTTTTCGGTCAACAATTGTCTCTGGTTCTTCAATCAACCTTTTGTTCTCATCGATTCTCAACTCCGAAAGTGGAATCATGTCGGGAACTTCCCCCGTGAACTTCCTCAAATAACACACATGAAAATTGTTATGAATTTCATTCAGTTCTTCTTTTAGTTCGAGCTTGTAAGCTTGGTTCCCAATCCTTTGAAGAACTTTAAACGGTCCAATAAACCTTGGACTTAATTTTCCCCTTTTCCAAATCTTATAAGTCCCTTCCACGGCGAGACTTTAAGCAAAACCGAATCCCCAACTTCAAAATTCATCGGTCTTCGCTTTTTGTCAGCATAGATCTTTTGACGATCCTGAGCCGCTAACATTCTTTCCCTAATTATTTTCAACTTTTCAGCAGTTTGATGAACCAACTCCGGTCCCATAAACTGCTTTTCCCCAGCCTCAAGCCAACAAGACGGCGTACGACACTTTTATCCATACAAAGTTTGCTAAGGTGCCATCTTAATGCTCGAGTGAAAACTATTATTATAGGAAAATTCTACCAATGGTAAATGTTCATCCCAATTACCTAGGAATTCCAAGGTACATGCTCTCAACATATCTTCAAGTGTTTGTATCGTTCTTTCACTCTGACCATCAGTCTGCAGATGGTAAGATGTACTTAAACATAACTTGCTACCCATTTCCTCTTGTAGACTTTTCCAAAACCTTGAGGTGAAACGGCTATCACGATCCGATACAATCATTAATGGAACACCGTGAAGCCTCACAATTTCTTTCACGTA